TAAAAAACAAGGACAGTCTCTCTAAATTGTTACTAGAATTATTGAAAGAAGAACATATATTGTCCTTCAAGCATCTATGTCTAATTCCACATATGTATAGTTTAATTGTAGAGTACTGTAGTTTGAGATGTTGAAAGCAATGTGTAGCAAAATATATCAATAGATCTTCTGACACTGAATGAGGCTTGCTGTCAGTGACACTTAATATACCATTTAATAGCAAAAATTTTAAAAAATGATTATAACCGGTCTCATATGACACTTTTGTCCCTTCAGAAATAGAATAATTCCATAATTTACTAACTGTTTCACTCAGTGCCACATTACTTCTGATGCACTTGGAACTATGCATGGACTCTATTCTGCTTTTGGGGCCAGCTTGTGAAAACGGGTGATCTGTAAACGAGACAAAGCATCCGAAATTTGGTTTTTATAACCTGGAACATGTTTTGCACTAAAGTAAAAATTATATTTAGCTGCACACCAAGTCAGCTGTCTCATCAATTTCATAATTTCGAGAGTTTTTGATCTCCCCTTTTTCACAATAGCTACAGTGGCCTCATTATCACACCAGAATAATATTAGTTTCTTCAAGTGTTGCTCTTTAACCCTGGAACAGCTGGTGCCAAATTATACTCAACATAAACATGTACATGTATAAACAACATGGGACCAAACGCTACAGTCTCTCAACTTGTCTTTAAGATGAAGAACCACAATTACTGACCATATAAAAACCAGAACCAGACAAATGACTAAACCTGACGCAAGTACTTTGACAAATTGATAAGGCTGTTGATAACAAAGGCTTGATAAAGTTTCACTTTTATTATATAATATAAGTTTGCCCTTTGGGAGTCAGTATCTCAGCTGGGAAAATTTTGCTCCAGGCCCTGTCGACGACACTTGGTATAGTGGGTAGCCAAGCCCCGTGGACATGGACACTCCGCCAATCAACTGGAACGCCGAGGGTTCCAAAAGGGGATGAAGCGATGTGATATCAATAGATCTTCTGACACTGAATGAGGCTTGCTGTCAGTGACACTTAATATACCATTTAATAGCAAAAATTTAAAAAAAATGATTATAACCGGTCTCATATGACACTTTTGTCCCTTCAGAAATAGAATAATTCCATAATTTACTAACTGTTTCACTCAGTGCCACATTACTTCTGATGCACTTGGAACTATGCATGGACTCTGTTCTGCTTTTGGGGCCAGCTTGTGAAAACGGGTGATCTGTAAACGAGACAAAGCATCCGAAATTTGGTTTTTATAACCTGTGAATTTCTAGAGTTTTTGATCTCCCCTTTTTCACAATAGCTACAGTGGCCTCATTATCACACCAGAATAATATTCTTTTACAAGACCACTCTGGCCCCCAAAACAGTGCTGCTACAACAATAGGATATAATTCTAAAAAAGCTATTGAAAGGTTGTTTGTCAATGATGGTAAATCCAAAGGCTAGGTTGAATAAAAGAATTTCCCCTGAAAATAGCCCCCAAATCCTATTGTTGACGCAGCGTCTGTAAATAATTCATATCAAAGCTACTTGTAAATTCATTTTCATGAAACATAGTAATGCCATTCCAGTTTGACAAAAAACGTAACCAAAATTCCAAGTCTGTTCTACATTCTGTGCTTAAATGCACAAAATCAGACAAATCTTTAACTGTAGTTGACAAATTAATCAAATAAGAAACAAAAGACCTTCCAGGTAAAATAACCCTGGAAGCAAAATTTAAATGTCCCAATAACTTTAAAAGTTCTCTTTTTGTACAAGATGATTTGTGTAATATTTTGCGAATAAAATTGCATATCCTTTGCACCTTATTATCAGGTAATCTGGTTTCCATTTTTTGTGAGTCTAGTATGATACCTAAATATTCTAAACAAGTAGTAGGCCCAACTGTTTTATGACTAGCAATGGGAATGTTAAGCCGTTTAAATATTGTCATCATAATTGCCATTGTACTCTCTCCATCTTTGTCGGGATGGTCAATTGTTAGGAAATCATCTCATAAATGCAGGATATGCTGTACCTTATAGTTTTTCTCAGCAATATAACACACTGCTTGGGAGACAGTGTCAAAAATTTTAGGACTGGTACGGCATCCAAAGGTGAGCCTAACATAAAAATAATACATAGATTTCCACTTAAAACAAAACAGTGGCCACTGCGTAGGTTTGTAAGGACAAATTTTAAACGCATCGGATATGTCGTACTTGGATAGACTTGATTTTCTCCCACATTTTGAAATGATGCGGATAGCATCATCTATTTTCACATAAGACATAGAACAATCACTTTTGTCTATCATATCATTAACACTCATACATTCATCATTGTGTGGTGATGACAAATCTAAAATTAATCTTTTTTTATCAGAATATTTCCCCGTTGCTACCCCTAGAGGGCTTACTCTAAAACGAGGAAAAGGACTATGTTGAAATGGCCCATACACAAAACCTTTTTCACATTCTTTCTTTATCAAATCTGAAACAACTGTAGATTGCGACCTAGCCGAGTAATTATTTTTGCATACTTTGGTATCCCATGTATCGTATTTTACCATAGAATCGAAACCATTTCTTAATCCATTTATCAAATATGATCTGAAATTTATATCTGGATGATTCTGCAGCTCATGCTCAAGTTTTTCTATGTTGATAGGAGTTGATGCTTTCATCGAATAATCTTCCAAATGTACATGTAGTCATGATTTGTTATCAGGTTTAGTCTGAGTAACATCTTTGCTACTAGTGTTATTTTTGTAGGTTTGTGAATATTTTTGAGGAACATGAACATTGTGATGGTTTTGTCTATTACCTGTACATGTAGGTGCGGGGTGACCTGTAGATCTACAAGTTGAGCAAGCGTGAAGAAGGTTGCATGTTGTTCTGAACAACCCCTGACATTATTATAATTGTTACATACTTCTTTGCCGTCGTAAAATACTCTACTACGACCTTGTTTATCAAGCTTGTTTGGCATGTTTGGTCTAACTGACCTGTTGTAACCTAAGTTGCTATCTACATGTATACCCTGATGATCAGAACACTGCAATGCACAAAATTCTGTGGCATGATCAACTTGATGACATAAGTTGCATGCATTTACTCTAATACCCCCACTAACTAGTGAAAGAATGTCACGGTCTCTTTCACACAATCAACCTTGATGTGTTTCTCTCTTAGGAGTGTAGCTGCCTTTGCAGAGAACAGCTTATGGTAGGTATAAAATTTTTCTCCATAAAGTTTATGGATCTGAATCAAATCTGCTTCATATGTATCAAGCTCTTCACGTCTTTCGGGATATGACACACATGATTCGCTTATATTTGCCAAAGGCCTGAATAAAATCTTGTATATTCAGGTTCCTGTTAAGACGGGGGTCAGGCTTGCTTGATAGATTAACTTTTATTTCATCAGCAGTGATATTGTGTGCTTGAGGGTTTTCGTAATTGGATATTAGCAATGAAGTGAGATTAATGTCCTTACCCTCAATAATATTTCTTTGAATATTGGGCGACACAATATCAACATTGGTGAAAGAATCCGATCGCACTCCATTTCTTGTTGAATCCATTTCGGCACTGTTATGGTGAGAAAACGGTAAGGCACTTGTCGACGGACTATATAGCTGAAGTTGAGATGTGCGGCGGTTCTTTGGGTTGTACCAGAAACTGGGATAAGCGGGACATCAGAAGCGTTTCTCTGTTCGTACCAATTAGCTAGATCGTAGGTCTTGGTGAAGGAATCCATTGTTGGTCTAATGTTGGAAACGGATGGTTGCATGCTTGCCATACACTGTGTAAACGTGTTAACCATTGTTGATGTAAACAAAGCGGCCATATTGTTTACATTGGAGTCCGCACGTACGTCGTTTCCGGTTACACTATCCATGCGCGGTGATGGGGCGGAACTTCTTTCATCTGTGGGCGGGTCTTGAAGTACTTCTCTCGGTTGCCTAATATGGTCATCCGCTGCGACGGTTGCATCTTCTCGAATTTCGTCAGTGCATAGGCGCTCCTTGTTGTCTAGATACAGTTGTTTAAGTACTGTTTTAGACCAGCTTTTTGGAATGTTAATTCCTAACTTCCGTAATTCGTCCCGAAATCTTGCACCTGTCCAATTTTCTGGATTTTCCATATCCCATTGCGAGCTTTGTGTTGCATTTTCTTCGTTGTTATATGGATGTTGTCTGTTTCTTGAACGACGGTTACGTCTGGTTGAAGAAGCCATGTTATTTACTGAAGTTTTTATAGCCGTAAAATTACGAAACTGTTTAATAAAACTGATTCAAGTTCTCTAATTTCGGGAAATAATAGTCCAATATTGAATGTCAAGAAGTGATTGGAAAGACGAATTTAAACTGCAATGAATATTATGTCCGAGATCACTAATTTACGATGAGGTTTTAAAGAATTGTCTACAGTTCTTCTGAATAATCGTAATCACACTTAGGAAATAAAGTCGTGTAAAATACCTTGTGTCTCCAAGGCAGGAGAATGAAAATAAAGTTATATAAATCCGATTTCCAGTCCAGACAATCTTCCACAATAAAGTCTCAAGTTTAACAGCAGAAAATCAGTGTAATTAGTTAAACTGTAAAATGAAATTGAAAACTTATTCCTATTGAGTAAACGTCCTTTGTATTCAACAGCAAAATCAAAAGTGAGAAGCTGGCAGCCTGCAATTGTAATCTGAGAACCTAATCCTTGATATCAGACAGACCAAATTAGGCATGACCTTTGACCTTATAATGGAATCGACTGCCCCATCTCATGGAAGAAACCATCCCGTCTGAATAAACAACACTTATACTCTGCATAAGTTACAATTAATGATATAGATATCAAGATAAGGTTGCTACTAGTATATCATTTGAGTAGACCTCACGTCACATTTTATTTGTATTCAATATATTGTACGTAGAACAGGGAAATATTGATTCATTAATTGCATAAATATCATGTAACTATATAAATCTGCGATTTAAACAAAGTTCGACGCAGGTTCCTAGATCAGCAGCTACTTCAACACTTAAATCTTGCAAGTTATTATACGTTTCGGAAGGCATCTAGGAAGTTGACAAATAAAGTGAATTGGATTTACTGATCATGGTTCGAGTTTTGCTAATACTGAAATGTTTGATGTCAGTCGGTACAAGTAAGTCACTACAGTGTTCGCAAAAATGTCCACATATATGATCATCTAGTATAAAATATGCACGATGAATCTTCTATAAAACGATATTACGAAAAACTAGTCCTAAAAGGATGCGATACTAATTTATCGTGGTTTATGTGATATTAATAATTATTATTATAGAAATTTGAAAATTTTATTTATAATTTAATGAACTATATTTATAATACTGCGTCAATTAAAAATTTTTTAAAAGACAGAAATTTACAATATCAATTTATTTTCTTACAAACAACTATATTCATATATTTTTATAGAGTAACGTTCCCAAAAATTATAATTTTAGCAATTCGAATCAAGAGAGCAGTTAAAGATAAAACGAGGCTCGCTCGCTTATAGTAACTTGTTTGTTACACAACATCATACATGGTCATATGCTAGGTTTTCGCCTGAATATCTTTCTGTTTCCACTCTAAATGGTAAAAATCCGCATCTTAGTTGTGCTAAATATAATTCGAGCTTGGTATAATGATCGGTTTCAAAAATTGTTTTCAAAGTCTTATAGTTTCATAGATTTTGGACTGAGTCCCTCTAGATATCGAGATAAAAGCGGAAACTCACCATTTAACCAATGACAAATCAACCTCTGATTTTAGTGCGTAAATTAAGACGATAGTACTTAACAAATGTTCTAAATCTCTTACATCGATTAGGGAGATACAAATTAGAGTAACAAGCAAAAACTGGGGTAATCGCATGAACTCTAAAACTAGCGAGACTAATAGCGTGTACGTCGACAGGGTATAAGCGTCTCCCATATAAACTAGCGAGACTAATAGCGTGTACGTCAACAGGGTATAAACGTCTCCTATATAAACTAGCGAGACTAATAGCGTGTACGTCGACAGTGTATAAGCATCTCCTATATAGATATAGGAAGACGTGGTATGAGTGCCAATGAGACAACTCTCCATCCAAGTTACAATTTATAAAAGTAAACCATTATAGGTCAACTACTATAAAAAGTAAAATCACAAAAATACTGAACTCCGAGGAAAATTCAATCGGAAAGGCCCTAATCACATGGCAAAATCAAATGACAAAACACATCAAACGAATGGACAACAACTGTCATATTCCTGAGTAAAATAGTCTATATATGTATCACTCGCCATTCAAATTAACATCAAAATTTCACAATTGAGAATAGGACACAATCGGTAAAATAACAGAGTAGACAAATAACAGAGTAGACGAATAACAGAGTAGACAAATAACAGAGTAGACGAATAACAGAGTAGACGAATAACAGAGTAGACGAATAACAGAGTAGACAAATAACAGAGTAGACAAATATCTTTGTATCTAAAGATCTAAAGCCGCGAAAACATGTCGCTAGTGACGGTAGAAAAACCGAATCATCATATCTGTCAACCAATTCGTGATGGTGACCGTAAAACTTATGTAGTGTAGATTTCAGTCGTTCTTCCTAATAACTGTTGGGGCAGAGTTTGTGTGGGAGCACATCCCTGTCTATGAAGTCTATGAAGTGTACGTAATTAATTGCTCCACATTTGTTTTTAAATTTCACATATGGATTCTGCTTGTAAAAATACACCAGAAAATAAACCGGAAAAGGGGTAAACGGGTTTCGTTTTTGAGATACGAACTGTTGAAATTAACAGCATGATACACCAAAAATAAAAAAGAATATATAGAGATATATTTCAGATTCACATAGGAAACGCTAATAAAAACATTAAGGATAAAAAAGGGCGATTTTCCTTTTCTATTGTTAATTTTCCTTTTTACGGCGATAATCCGATTAGGAATCTTCATTGTTTAACAACAAGTTGTAAATACGTAAAAGCGTTTCGTGGAATTACAAACTACAATTAATGATATTATATAAACATGGAATGAAGTAACAATGAAATAACCTAATGACATGCATTGGTAATGTTAAGTTAAAAATATGTCAAAGAGAGGAGAAGGATACCAAAGGGACATTCAAACTCACAAGTCGAAAATAAACTGACAACGCCATGGTTAAAAAGAAAAAGACAAACAACAGTACACAAACACAAAATAGAAAACTAAACACTCAAAATGTGAAAAAAAAATTTAGCATGTAATCTATTGCAATTACGAATGATATTTTTCGGACAAAATTTTATCAAATTATAAGACATCGGTACATGTAACTTCTAACGTACGTTAATACAGGAACAGAAATTGTAAACAGTATCTTGGGTGAGTTTTCTTCGACAAATGATAGACTAAACCGTTATAGATAGGTACACCACAAATGATAGACTAAACCGTTATAGATAGGTACACCACAAATGATAGACTAAACCGTTATAGATAGGTTCATCATATATAGGTTTGTTTTCGAATCATTGTTGGGGCTTTGTACAACCGACCTTGATGTCAGCCGATATTGGCTGTACTGTTTAGTGTACTTTTTATTGTGTTACTATCGTCTCGATTGTACTTGTTGCAGTATTAAATCATCAGAAGTTTACTGTAAAATGATATAGTATGTTAATACACTTAACTTTCAAAGACAATTTATGACAATTTGCAGCAACACAGTTATCAGTGACGACAACAGCCATTGACAGCATGTTATTAGCAGATACTGGAGTTTTTAGAAGTGAATATAAATCATTCCTCTTCAGTGTGAAAGGATGTCGGGATGCTCACTTAAAACTATTATCGCATGAAACCGAAGTTCGACAATATTATCAAGTCCTTATCGGGGGTTGGGGTAATAGTATGTCGATGCTATCTATAATAATGGATGGTATTACGAATGTGGATTCGAGCAACTCTTCAGAAATGGACTGCGATGTTTACAAACAATTTTGGATCAGCTGGGATCAAGATGTGATAAAAGTTGGGAGAGGAAACGCGACTGGTGATGATGTGTTTCTGTTATATGAAGATAGATGTTCGTTCAGTATAAAGAATATCCAAATAAGTGGTGGTTCAGATTGGAATCTCGATCTTGCAAAAGTTGATTGGATAATGTATTCTACTCGTAAGTTAATTCTATTTTATATAATATTTTGACGCAAAAGGTAGGCCGTTGTTACCATGGTTACGGGACAAAACTCTTAAAAATCAAAGTTAGTCTTACACTGTAAAAATCGTGCTTACAAATTAAACACTTGTATTACATGTTTAGTTCTAAACATGTTTAGGATTGTGTTTAATATCTAAACACTTTTCTCAGTAAGCACATTAAATGTAAACATGTCTTGAATTTAAACACTTTTAAATGTGTGAATTTAGAATGAAACTGTTTAGGAATAAAACACTAATTTCTAAGCTAAACACGATCCTAAACACATTGTACTGAGACACGTTTAGATCAAAATGTGTAAAAAAAAAAGTGCATAAAAGATGTGCTTAGAATTGTGTTTCGGATCTAAACACCATTTTTACAGTGTAGTCAACAATTTTCATAAATATGTTCTTAGCGTCACTCATGAAAATAAATAATTTATACTTATTGACTGGGTATGAGTGGAATAGTAAGTTTATTGTCCCCCGAGGTGCAACTATTGCCCGAGGCGTACCCGAGGGCAATAGTTGTATCCGAGGGGACAATACACTTACTATTCCACGAATATCCAGTCAGTAAGTGTTTTATTAAACCGAAAGAGACAACAGACAATAAATGTCGGGGCTAAATCAACTATCGTAATATAAAAAGCAGAAAACCAACCATACTGTTTAACGTTTACTTCATATATATTCTGAATGCTAAGGCTACGTCCTGCACTGACGTCAACCCTACATGTAGATACAATAGGTAAAACGCGACGTCGCAACTCCCGCGGTATTCTCAACATCCTCCAATCCCATAGCTGCATTTGAAATTCTGCGAAATATAATGACGCTTGCGGTCAAATAGTTTCATCGAGGTCCAATAGTTGGAAACTATTGACCGGTACAATAGTTCAACCCTTGCAATTTGGAAAATAGTGAACATATTGTTTACTTATTTTATATAGAAAATGATAACTGAGATATGATAATTTATACTTATTGACTGTGTATGAGTAGAATAGTAAGTTTATTGTCCCCCGATGTGCAACTATGGCCCTGAGGCTTAGCCGAGGGCAATAGTTGTATCCGAGGGGACAATAAACTTAGACGTTGCGCACGGTATCGGTGCTTCTTTGAAAAAATGCGTTAGATAGTTCACGCTCTTTTCCTATACAATATATATCCATGATCAGTATATCATTCGAAAGGAAATAAACCACAGAAATCAATAAAATAGATGAATTTGTGCTATTTATATCATGTAAAGAAAAACTTTGCTCATTTCGACGGCTATAACGTCATTTTAAGGGTGTCCCGCTGTTACAATTTTGTTTTGTTTGTGTCTTTGAAATCACAATGCGGACTAGTTAGTAAGTTAAATGAGATAACATTTTACAACAGTATTGTATACAATTGATGAAAAATAGCGTCATAAACGTATTTAACTGTGAGTAAAAGAAGATTGTCAGGAGCGTTGAGCTTAGGAAGAGAAAAAATGTCCAATTCAGCTGTTCAGCTCCTATGAAAACTTTCGGCCTCCACTATTACAAGATATAACAGATGAAAGTGTCTATTAATATTATCAGAAAATTTATACTAGTCCTAAAGAAGCTTTATGAAGTCATCACTATATAACTGCAGTCTTACTTTCAAAACATCGTCAGTTTTCCCGTGTCCAATAAAATGTCCCGATGGATAAAATGACGCATAGAGTAACCCAGAGGCTGTTTATTAAACGAAATTTTATTTGATCCCCAATTTTGAACACTCTTTAACCGATATGAACGGAAAATACATTTCATTTCTTCTAAAATGATGTGATATATATTTTTGTTTGAGCTGCAGGTATAAAATACGAAACGAACTTAGATGTCCAATAACATGTCCCCATAATTGTAATTTGACGTACACGTCATGATAACGCTTAATTTTTTTGCATATTTGGCATACAATTAATCTTATGAAATGATCTGATCTATATTAAATAAAGTTCTTGTTCAAATATGCATCAAAGTAGATCTTCATTGTATAAATAATTCAAATATGACGAAATATTTAACTCGGATGCTTGACAAAGACCAGGCTCCGAGGCCAAAAATGTGAGACAAGTTCTCATACGATCACAGTCTCACTTTTAGGAAAAGAACATACAGTAAAAATGAAAATGCATCTAAAAATGGGCTCACCTTATTGTTTTCCCTTAGCCAGATTATAAACGACTCAAACCCAAGCTTTACACCCTGACCTTAATTCCTAGCGTTGCAATTAAAGAATCGGAACTATATATGTGAATCAATTTTTCTAGCCAGTTTGCAGAGCCGGGATTTTGTTTTCGTACTTGTATTCTTAGCTCCATGTAGTAGTATAAATATAGAAATGTTTACTGTGAGTAGAACAATCTCTTATCATCTACCTAGCAACATATGTATGAAATGGAAGGTCACAGTGTTACTTCTAGAAGTAATGTGTGGAATAATGGAGTTTGTTGTCTCGAATCTCCAACAGAATTTACTGCTACATAGGCATGCGATGGACGAGTATTAAAATGTTAATTGAAACTTGTCTTTTACATTAATTTGAGTGTTAGAGTAATAGTTGTCCGATAAATATGATGGATTGCACGCAACTATGTATGTAGCAGGTCCAGTGTAATAATTTAAAGACACTCCCAAGTATATTTTAACCTAGTTTAAGTTCCCTTTAGAAAAAAGTCACCATGCACTCTACCCCATATCTTCCAAAAAAAAAAACCTATCCATATTTCTTGAAAGTGTATATTTTGTGGTAAGTACATCATTTTGTTTGCATGCATAACCAATTTATAGAAATACTAAAGAAAGAATATTGAATACAATAAATATACTGCATTGAACACGCTGTATGTGTAACAAATTGACACCATAGTTCCTTTTTACCACTAAATCAACTACAAAATGTCTGCTGTGTGTATCGGCGGTTCTCTCTGAGCACTTAAGCTTCCTTCAACAATAAAAATTGACCTCCACGAAATAGCCAATCGTGCTGAATTTGGCGTTAAACGCAAATAAATCAATCAACCAATCTGCTGTGTGGAAAAGTTCATTTTTGTGTATAGTAGATTTATTTTTTCTCTTCGCAAAACGTCACAAAAATGGCTGGAATATTGCTTTTTATACTTGTTAAAAAATCAAAAACACTCAAAACCGAAACCCGAAACCCGTAACTTGATAACCCGTTTGAAAACGGTCTAAAAATGTCAAAGAAAATTTAGTGCTAACCAATACCCAGTTATATTTTAAAATTGGAAGCGCTAAAAAACCCAATTCGTAGTATAAAACGTACATGAAATGCACTCCTGGTCCATAGTACTTCCTTTCAGAAAACATTGATCCATGTATATTTACGAAAGCAGCTACTTAAATAATATATATCTTGTCACAACAAATTGAGTATATTTTTTAAAATCGGTTTCACTCTGCTGTTGGTCAAATATCAGTTGATGTAGCTTTATTTGGGTCTATATAAAAAGGGGTAGAGTTTTTCATACTTTGCCAAAATGCTATAATTTCAAAAACATAGTAAAAAGTATGGATCGCCGACCTTTTTTTAGAGCTTTTATAAGTTTGTGAAAAATGTTCAGATTTTGTAAGGATTATACACGGGAAATGTAAATTTATGCGAATATAAAGAAAACTAAAAGATAGAGTTTTAAATAATATATATATACGAGAAGACAGCTCTTATAATGTGCTCTCCGAAAGCAAAAAAAAAAAAAAAACGGAATCCCCATATTCGTTTTCTTACTTCATCACTGTTATGTATAATTGAAACTGTCAATATAAACTATTAAAGTTACTATGAATTGTTATCAAATGAACTGTAACCTCAAAGTGATGAAAACCATATGGCATCGCCTAGACTGTTACCTACCACAGTTGTATCAATTGTCGCGATATATAATATGTTAACTTGCTTGATTATTTTAGTGTAGAATAAAATGCTAATCTGAACAGATGCCTTCTACTCTCAATAATGTTATAGTTAGTAATACATAACAAATTGGCGACGAGTTAAAAAAAAAAACAATGGCTGGATATATCGGTAAAATTGAAAATTTTGATGATGGAATTGAACAGTGGACTTCTTAAACAGAAAGACTAGAACAATATTTCGCTGTGAATGAAATTAACAACGATAAGCGTGTACCTGCTTTACTTAGTTTAATTGGTGGAAAAACTTATGCTTTGTTAAGAAATTTAACAACACCAGACAAACCGAAAGATAAATCATACGAGGATATTGTGAAAGTTTTGAAAGAACATTTATCACCCGCACCACTGGTGATAGCAGAACGTTTCCGTTTTCACAAGAGGGACCAAAAAAGTTGACAGACTATTAATGAGTATGTAGCACAAATTCGCAAATTTTCGGAATATTGTAATTTCCCTGATTTAAACGATACATTGAGAGACCGATTGGTTTGTGGGTTGAAATCAGAACAAACTCAGAAGAAACTATTGTCAGTCCAAGCATTAACATTAGAAAAAGCTATGCAGATTTCTGTAGCGATGGAAACAGCTACAAAAGACGCATTGGAGCTACAGGGAAAACAACCAGAGTCAGCTGTACATAAGGTTAAAAGTCAAAAACCGAAGGTTAGCTTCCATCAACAGAAACTTATAACGTGTTACCGTTGCAACAAGCAAGGACATAAAGCCGATACATGTCGTTTTAAAGATCAAACGTGTCATAAATGTAAGAAGAAAGGACATATTCAAGCAGCATGTCGTAGTAAAATGATAAAACGGAATGTGCACTCACTTAATGCTGATGATTCTCAGGATGATGAATTTGGAATTTACACAGTGTTCGCAAACAAAGATACACAGAAAGGAAACAATGATGTAGGGATTTATACAGTGAATTCCAAAACAAAGGAGATAACTGTCGACGTGAAAATCGACAATAAATCTGTTGAAATGGAAGTGGACACAGGATCCGCTCTCT